GAGCGGACATTAAGCTTGGATATCTTCATGCGCAGCTTCATTGTGTGTCCACATAGATGAGGCAACTGGTGCCACTAAAACATTTCCTCGAAGCACAATCCTTTCTCAAGGCAGTGCATTAACTTAGTTTACAAGATAAGACAGCTAGCTCTTACTATTACCAGTCTGAGAACGGTTGGCCTCAGGCTTATAATTAACTACAGTATTCACAGGGTTGTGACAGAGGCAATTTCAGCGCTCAATGTCCCAAATTTGGATAACGTCACGCGCTTTTTAAAATCGCCTGACGCACAAACAGCTCTAGCCAATTAGTTTGGCGAACTACCCGATGCTGACAATGAAGCTGCATGCTACAATGGCCTTTGCGTCGGTCCTCTTGAGGCAGAAGAGAAATTCTGTTCCATTTGAGATTAGAGGTCAGCGCCTGTACGGTAAGCGTAGATGCTGCATATAGTTTCGCTAACGCATACGCGCACATTATTTCCAGGCTAATTGACTTTGAACTGTGCCTGGCGTATTTAGTCTGTGCGAGTCCTGGAAAAATTTAAAATATATACGCATTACTAGGTTATTTAACTGTAAAGAAGAACCAAAATGCCTCATGTCAATTAGGGTTCATATCCGAGTTCCACCATCCAGCTCAGAAGAAGAAGATGCTACCACTGGAACAAAAGTTTTTTGTCCTGACGTTTCGGATTCCGTTGGGAATCCTTAATCATAGGTAATGGTATCATGGTCATAGTCATGCGCAGATAGGTTTAAAACATACACAGGTTGCACGAAATTTATAGTTCATAGTGGTCATCTGCGAGCGTGCGATAATTATTCACATCTGTAGCCCCCGCTTGGGTCTTAATGGGTTCGTTACTGGCTTGAAACTTCGCGTTCGACTCATTAATTGCCGTGATTTCCTCGTCCGAGTTGGATGCGGGCTTGGTAATTGAGCAACAATTATGCTCGTTTTCATTGGAGATGTCGCTTTGTCCACAACTGCACGAGATTCGGTAAACGACTCCAGTCGTTTCCTGCCGTGGCAGTGGGTTTTT